TTACAATAGCTGGTTTATGATTGAAGAGATTATACAAGCACGATGCAAGACCAACATGAACAGTGTGACTGTGGACTACTAGAAAAATAGTGTTAAAAAAATTGTTTAATCTAAAGGCTATCATGAAAAAGATTTAGCCCTAATTTGAATAGCAGTGTAACTGTTGTGTTTTTCAAAAGAATGTTTTGCAGGCTTCAAACATAAAATTCTTATAACAAAAATGTGCAACATCCACTAAGTTCTCTGCAAGAATTGTATGAAACAATAATAAAGATACATTAAGAAGGTTTTAGCAGTTTTCCTTCCCGGAGGGAATTATCATAAAGATCCAATAAATAGCAAATGTGGGCAACATACAGCAACAAATAAAATCAAAATTTTCACCACTCACCTTATTGGTGGTGACAGAAGATGGAGGAGACGTGACAGCAACAGACCACTCATGTTTCAGTACATCAAAGATTAAAGTGTCTGTATGTCCTGAGAACAGGGGGGGAAAACGAGAGAGGAAAATCAGTTCATGGTAAAAAAAAAAAAACTACATCATGTAATTGTGGAGTAAGTATTATTGTTTGCTTCTTAGACCATGAACATACTTTTTTTCCTGCTTCCACCTCCTGCTATGCACCATCTAGTTCCACAGAGAACACCACAGCAACCAGCTCTAGGTGATGGATGGAAACCCCGTACCTTTATTCTTGACCACACCATCTGCCCAAGGAACAAAATAGTTCTACATACAATCAGGGTTATATTCGGATGATGTTCTGAATTATAGACTTGGTTAGCTTTGTAAGGAAAAGCATATTTACATACTGTCTCAAAGTCAAGTGAGTATAAATCATTCAGGGTCCGGGATTTTGATGTCCCTCCAAATATAAGTAGAGTTTTATCATCATAAAGAGCGGCCACATGGTTGGATCTTGCAGATGGTCCTGTTCCTCTGACATAGATAAGGAAATGTAAGAAGAAGAAAACATCTAACATCTCTAATAGTGTAAAAGAAAATGGTAAACTAAAGGGTCTCTTGGAATTACATTAGCATCAATTATGCAAAACTTCACGAAAAAACTATACTAATAACTCAACCAACGCCAAAGTAACTCACGTGCAATGTAGAGGGAGCCAGGTAAACGATTTAAGGTCAAACATGTGAAGGTCGTTGAGTTTCCTCCTCCGACTATCTTCACCACCAAAGAGGATTAAGACAGAGCTAGCTCTAACTACAGAGTGACCACTTCTAGCAACCTGCAATAATTAAAGTTGCTTAACTTTGCTATCATTCACAATTAATCTCCTCAGCAAGCTACCATTTGTGTGTTCACAGCGTTCCAAAAAACTAAGACTGGGGGGGAAATGATATCAACTAGAATTAACCATGAAATCGAATTTAAAAATATTCAATCAAAATTAGATGGCCTATATTTAATTTCAAGTTGATATTTCCAAAGATTAAGATTCCAAAATTGAAAAGGAAAAAAAGAATTCAAAGGATTAATGGAATCAATCATCACTAAACCATTTGATACATGCGTGTAATGAATTCGAGTAACAAAGACTAGTACAGGTATATCTCCCTTGGCTTCCATCAGCGACCAACATTCTGTCTCTGTATCAAATGCCCAGACTGCAAGGACCACAAAGATCAGATTACCAAACAAAAGAGAAGAAATATCAATATTAATACTAGAATATTAACCTGCAATTCTCTCATTTCCTGGCTCTGTCTTGCCCCCAACCAGGAGAGCTTTCTTCCCCCATGAAACCTTTTCGAAAATAAAAGTTGAGAAAACATAGATTATGAGATGTCATAAAGAGTGTCCCATCACCCTGGGTTAAATGAATAAATGATAATATTGTGCATTAGAACTCATCTCCATAAAGAATGTTTTAATCTAAGATCTTGCTGATGGCATTTCTCTTGCTCTAATTCGGTATATCAGAAGCGTAGTCCAGTCAATAAGTCTGTTTACCTAAAAGGAACTGGTACTGATGGTTCAATAGAACCATATAATGCCTCATCCTAAAAGTAAGCGTCTCATTAAAATAAATCTCTAATATCCTTTGGGTCCAGAAATTACCCATTTGGTTTATATTTTCACTTAAAGAAGTCCACTCTATGAATCTCAACTCAAAAACCGGCCTGGTCTGTTAGTTTTAGAGATTTAGTTCCATGGACACACAGATTTCCAACAATATATACATACCAACACGCACACCCGCTATCTATTGTTACTTGTGACAACTTACCAGACTGTGACCCTTGCATGCAGGGATCTTCAATGGCAGTGAGCTAGGTGATAAGTAAAGCTTTGATGAGGCTGTGCTCCAGGTATATTTATCAAAATTAAGCACCTGCAAACAGAACGATATAATCACTATCCACTCGGGCAAAGCAATCACTTGAGTGTACACAGTTGGTGCAAAGAAAAATGAATCCCTCAGATCCAAAAAAAAAAAAAAAATCACAACCTGTACATCATCCAATAATCCATTCCCAGATTCGCCACCAACAACAATCATCTTATTACCAATAACAGTTGCTGCATGCTGTGAAAGAGAAAAAAAAAGGGTGGGGGGGTGGAATGGTCACGTTCTTCACATTAAAAGATCACATGTGTACGTCTAAACCAATGTAACATTATCGTTAATGTCAACATCAAGACTTGAAACAGAAAATTATACATTGAAACGAGGAGCTGGTTTTTCCCCTGCAATTGACAAGACCATCCAATTCTCAGACTGTCCCAAAGCACCAATACTGGTATGAGGAACGTCAGAAGCACGTTGGCCATCATGCTCTTCAGAATGCCTACTTGTAGGTGCAGCAGCACATTCAGTCTACAAGCAAAAACAGCTTCAGAAATGTGCTATTCTATTTCAAACATGAATCTAAATCAGCAAAAAAGAAGCCTCACATTAGAGCTGGTCACTCGTTTGGGGTGTCTTATAGGACTCCTAGTTCCCTGAGCAGGATCCGAAAGCTGGACTTTCAATCTACGTTTACGAAATAACTTTTTCAATCAAAATAGGCTAAATATGGTCGCATTAATTCGTGTTGCTTCGCGGTTAGCAAGATAAAGAAGCAAATAGTAGAAATAAAAACAAAGCAACGAACTAATTTACGCATAGTTCAGAAAGAACCGACTCAAGATTTTCCAGAAGTCAAATAAATCTAACAAAAGCTTCACATATTGCCACAACAGAAAAATAACAACAGATATAAACCGACATAATCGCTAACCTTCCGAGCTTCATTCGTCTTCGAAACCCGAACATTTTCATGAACTAAAACTTCTCGGTGAGCACCAGTAACTTCCTCTCACTCCAAAGCCCTAAGCGCTTCAAGAGAACAACCTATATTACCATCAAACGAAGCTCCACAGCATCAGCTGGAATCCAGATGAAGTTATGAAACACAGCCACATAACCCGAAGAAGCACAGAAACAGAGGATTTACGGTGAAACAAAACCGCAATGGAAGCGGATAGTGATAGAAAAACTCGGAAATAATCCAGAAGAAAGAAGAAATCAATTAACAAGACAATGAATCCTGCAAAACAAAAGCGTAACTCTGAGGACGATCAGATACTTTTTGGTTCAGTCGTCCATTATGCAGATGCGACAAGGAAAGAAGAAGAAGCAGAAAGTGACCTTAAAGGCAGCGTACTTTAGCATTTACCTTGTAAGGAAGCATAGGCGGGTACAAGTAAATCGCTAAGTTGCGCCATGTGAAGAACCAGATAAACGAGGCTGAAGGTAGTAGAACGAGAAATAACCGTTGATTTTGGAGGGAGAGGGCTGGGTCCCACAGCATTTAATTTCTTTTTAATATAATTGTTCCTTTTCGCCCCTATAGTCTCTAGGTTTTTTTTTTCACTTTAATAAATATATTTTAAAAAAATAAAATGGAAAATAAAATTATTTTCATTTTTTTTCTCAACTTGTGATTGGAGATATATTTAACTCAATTTTTGACGGTTCTAAATTATTACTTCTTTTTTTTATTAATATTTATATTTATTTAATGTCTCTCATTAATAATATTTATATTAATGATGACATATAATTAGGTAGTTAAATTAGGTTGGGTTTGGTTATTATTTTTTATTAAAATCATGAAATAAAAGGGAGATAATAAATAAATAGATATTTAACCCTTTATTGTCCAAGTGGGGACCACACTATCAGCGATCTTGGAAATTGGAGCCGTTGAAAAGAAAAACAAGCGGGAAAAAGGCTTATCGGGATTTTACACGATCTCGATTCTCACGTGTCGAACATGGACTTGACGCTGTCGTGGGCTTCCATGGGCCCAACAAATAGTTATTGTTGGGCTGGCCTTATTAAAAGACAAATAAATAATTTAAAAAGTATATTGTTGTTTGGTTGATAATATAATTATTAATTAATGGCAAGATTAATGACTAATTTTTAATAAATCAATTTAAAAATAGTTAAACGAATTATATTTCACAAAAAAATTTAAGCATATATATATTTCTTTTCTTTTTTTTATAATATTTATATTGAATTTTGTATACTTTGTGATAATTTGTATTTTATAAATTAAATTATATCTTAGTTTATTGACTTATTAACTACTTAAATTATATTCTTTAATTTCATATTTATTTTATTTCATACCAATATGATTAAGAAATTCAAATTTCTATTCTTTCGTATTATTAATCTCAAAAATAATATTTTAAATTATCATTGACGGTTGATCAGAGTTTATTTAAACAAAAATCAATCAAGCCAACTTTCATGTACTTTCTCTAAATACAACACGACACTCGATCATGTCATTTTTTTTGTTTCCCATAAGGAAAAAAAAAACATTTTTTGAATTATCATTGACCGTAGATTGATCATACGTGATGAGAGTCTATTTGAACAAAAACCAACTAAACCAGTCTTCATAAACTTTCTATTAATACAACACGACAGTCGATTATATCACTTTTTGTGTTTTTCAAAATGAAAAAACAGATTCCGACCAAATGACTCGGTCCATTTGAGTCAATTGTGTATTAGTTGTATGAGGTGAACGAGCGATCAAAATAAACTCATATCAGTTTAAGATAGTAATTGATATTTTATCCACTAAATTACACTATCCGACAAAGCATAAAAAGCATTGGTCAGCGGTCAAACCCACAAAGCGCCAGCAGCAGTAAGCATGGGAATGAGGGAGCGATTAAGATGAAGTGTCATAATTTCATTGGTTCCACCGACCAGTTGGCCGCCAATGAAGACAGCCGGAACCGTGGGGCTAAAGCCAAGCATAGACAGAGCCTGCTCGATCTCCCTACCTCGAGCGATCTGGTCCACCTCGTGCACCGCCGGGTTAACCCCAAACCCACTCAGCAGCCTCATCACAGTGTGGCTCATGCAGCACGTGCTCTTGCTGAAGATCACGACCGGCCTCTCTGAAACCATCCTTCTAACTCTCTCCATTCTTCTACCCGCTTTCAGCTCAAGTTCGAACCCAACGGGAGGGCCGGCTATTTATATGGACCAATTACCCCAAGAAAGGTAAAAGAATATTGAACAGGTGAAGGAAAGTCACGGAAGGAGGAATATGTAATTTCCAGCTGCATTTTCGACATGTCGCATTGGGAAGATATAAAGTGAAACGACAACGTCGGAATCTTTGCAATCGTAATGCGGAAAATAGAGACTTGTCCTTCCTAACCCTTCGCATTTCATCGTCCTTCCAAACTTTATATTATCCATTCTTTTTCAAAAAGTTCGAATTACTTTCGTCATATAATATAAATTTACTTCAAAATTTTACTCAAATTTAATTTAAAAAATTCATCAACTCATCTAAATTATTTTTAAAATTGCAATTCAATTGGAAAAGTAAATAAATAGATATTTTACTAGTTAATAAAAATAAAAAAATTGATATCATTTAATAATAATAATTAAAACAGTACCATTAAAAATTATAATATTCCTTATAAAAATTAGACAGAAAAACTAATATATTTTTATTTATATTTGAAATATTTGAAATATGTGAAATTATTGGTTTTAATTATTTTTGGCTTGAAATTTGAAAAAAAAAATTAAATGAAAATGATGGTGGGGAGGTGGATTCCAAATGCTGTAAGGTCCCCAAATGTTATCCAATTTTTTTTCATGTGATACGATGCCGTTTCGACGCCTCCTCTCACCACATAAAATAAAATGTTTTTATTTATTTTTTTATTTCCTCTTAAAATGCTAAAATGGTGTGAGTGTTTACTTGGATTAGAAAAATAATGGTAATTAATAATATTAAAATAAAAGTTCAAAATTTTAATTTTTTAAAAAATAAATAATAATTAAATGAGTGGAAAAAGGTATATTTCTTTATAGGGCATGAAAATGATTTTAAAAAGATGAACCTAAAAGATTCTGGTCTCTCTCCCACTGACAAAAAAACATTAGGCTATGCATGCATGAACGTTGGTTTTTATGTGGATGGATGCCCCCATGACATGTTAAGAGCCATGCATAAACGTCCCTGTGCTGAAGCCAAGGGCCAGGGTTGGTGAAGGGGTTATTTTGGCCTTACCAAACCCAACTTGGTTCCTTATGGATATGTATGTATGTATACACATCAACGTCGAGAATATATATCGTCGCTATAAGAATTCAGGGCTTTTTTGACACCATGGAATGTCGGAAAAGTAAAAAAAGGTGTCACTAAAGATTCTTCCTATGTAAAAAATGCATCGAGAATTGAATGTCGGAAAAGTAAAAAAAGGTGTCACTAAAGATTCTTCCTATGTAAAAAATGCATCGAGAATTGTTGTCGGTAACGTTTAGTTAGTTTGCTTTAACTCATTTTACATAGCTAAATATATGTTTTAACACATCATTAGAGATCAGAGACATAAAGCAAGGGCCTGCAAAAACTAAGTTATGTTATTTAATCAGAAAAATCACGGGATAAGAGGGAGGAGGGGATGACTGTGTGTAACGACCCAGATTCATCACTAGTAGATGAGTTGGGCTTTCCCTTTTGAGCTTCCCCTCAAGGCTTTAAATCGCGTCTAGTACGGGAAGGTTGGGCTTTCCCTTTCGAGCTTCCCCTCAAGGCTTTAAATCGCGTCTAGTACGGGAAGGTTGGGCTTTCCCTTTCGAGCTTCCCCCCAAGGCTTTAAACCGCGTCTAGTAGGAGAAGGTTGGGCTTTCCCTTTCGAGCTTCCCCCCAAGGCTTTAAACCGCGTCTACTAGGGGAAGGTTGGGCTTTCCCTTTCGAGCTTCCCCCAAGGCTTTAAACCGCGTCTACTAGGGGAAGGTTTACACACACTTATGAAGGGTGTTTTGTTCTCCTCCTCAACCAATGTAGAATAATCACAATCCACCCCCCTTCAGAGCCCAGCGTCCTCGCTAGCACTCGTTCCTTTCTTCAATCGATGTGGGACTGCCACCAAATCCACGCTCCGAAGTCTACTAGGGGAAGGTTTACACACACTTATGAAGGGTGTTTTGTTCTCCTCCTCAACCAATGTAGAATAATCACAATCCACCCCCCTTCAGAGCCCAGCGTCCTCGCTAGGACTCGTTCCTTTCTTCAATCGATGTGGGACTGCCATCAAATCCACCCTCCTTCGGAGCCCAACATCCTTACTAGCACACTGCCTTGTGTCTACCCCCTTCGGGGAACAACCTCCTCGCTGGCACATGATCCAATGTCTGGCTCTGATACCATTTGTAATGACTCAGATCCACTGCTAGCAGATATTGTCCTATTTAAGCTTTCCCTTTCGAGCTTCCCTTCAAGACTTTNGAATGTCGGAAAAGTAAAAAAAGGTGTCACTAAAGATTCTTCCTATGTAAAAAATGCATCGAGAATTATTGTCGGTAACGTTTAGTTAGTTTGCTTTAACTCATTTTACATAGCTAAATATATGTTTTAACACATCATTAGAGATCAGAGACATAAAGCAAGGGCCTGCAAAAACTAAGTTATGTTATTTAATCAGAAAAATCACGGGATAAGAGGGAGGAGGGGATGACTGTGTGTAACGACCCAGATCCATCACTAGCAGATAGGTTGGGCTTTCCCTTTCGAGCTTCCCCTCATGACTTTAAACCGCGTCTACTAGGGGAAGGTTTACACACACTTATGAAGGGTGTTTTGTTCTCCTCCTCAACCAATGTAGAATAATCACAATCCACCCCCCTTCAGGGCCCAGCGTCCTCGCTAGCACTCGTTCCTTTCTTCAATCGATGTGGGACTTCCACCAAATTCACCCCCCTTTGGAGCTCAACATCCTTACTGGCACACTGCCTTGTGTCTACCCCCTTCAGGGAACAACCTCCTCGCTGGCACATGATCCAATGTCTGGCTCTGATACCATTTGTAATGACTCAGATCCACTGCTAGCAGATATTGTCCTATTTAAGCTTTCCCTTTCGAGCTTCCCTTCAAGACTTCTCAGATCCACTGCTAGCAGATATTGTCCTATTTAAGCTTTCCCTTTCGAGCTTCCCTTCAAGACTTTAAAATGTGTTTGTTACGGGAAGGTTTCCACACCCTTATGAAGAGAGTTTTGTTCTCCTCCCCAACCAATGTGGGACATCACACTGTGATACTAGACCATGCTTATGAAGAGAGTTTTGTTCTCCTCCCCAACCAATGTGGGACATCACACTGTGATACTAGACCATGGCGGGAGAGAACCTTTTCCCAGTGCACTCTATTGGCGTGTCGGGAGAGGACCTTCTCCCAGTGCACTCTACTGTTGTGTCGGGATAGGGATCAAATCTTCTCGAACATAATAGTACCGTAAAATAGTCTAACTTTCCAAATAGTTGTAGGACAAAATACATTTTTTTTAAGAGAATTTTATGATTTTTGGGTGATGGAGGACAATTTATATATTGCATTATTATTGCATATGTGACAATGAGCTAAAAGAATCATACAAAAAATTAAAGGGGATAGATTTGTTATGTTTTTGTTGTGGGGATAAGATCTAAATAATAATCCTAATCCAATTCTATACGCACATTAAGGGCCAATTGGAGGCACAATTGAAAAAANCTTATGAAGAGAGTTTTGTTCTCCTCCCCAACCAATGTGGGACATCACACTGTGATACTAGACCATGTCGGGAGAGAACCTTTTCCCAGTGCACTCTATTGGCGTGTCGGGAGAGAACCTTCTCCCAGTGCACTCTACTATTGTGCCGGGATAGGGATCAAATCTTCTCGAACATAATAGTACCGTAAAATAGTCTAACTTTCCAAATAGTTGTAGGACAAAATACATTTTTTTTAAGAGAATTTTATGATTTTTGGGTGATGGAGGACAATTCATATATTGCATTATTATTGCATATGTGACAATGAGCTAAAAGGATCATACAAAAAATTTGTGGGGATAAGATCTAAATAATAATCCTAATCCAATTCTATACGCACATTAAGGGCCAATTGGAGGCACAATTGAAAAAAAAAAAAAAAAAAAANAAAAAAAAAAAAAAAAACAAATCGATTAATATCTACTAGTGGTGTGTTTGGACTGTTACAAATGGGTCGATCCACTTTGACGACACCTAATGAATCAAAACGAATAATATCTACTAGAGGTAGACTTTAGCTGTTACAAATGGGGTCGATGCCACTTTAGGGTTGGAGAGAAGAACAAAGTATTTTTTATAAGGGGTGGAAGTAAATGTATTTTAAAACTGTGAGGTTGAAGACAATACGTAATGAGTGGATAATATCTACTAGCGTTGGACTTGAGCAGTTACAAATAGGGTCGATGCCACTATGACAATACGTAACAAGCCAAACGGACAATATCTACTAGTGGTATGTTTGGGTTGTTACAAATGTGGTCAATGCCATTTTGATGATACGAAACGAGCCAAAACGAATAACATTTACTAGTAGTAGATTTTGACTGTTACAAATGGGGTCGATGACCAAATAATCTCTACCTCTACCAAAGAACGAACATATTTGATCGTATTGACACGGAGTTTCAACCAAAAAAACGAATGAATATAAGATGATGAATAATATCTATATATTTTATGCTCTAAAAGAGATATGTCTTGCAAAATAAAAAACTCTTTGACATGCCCATCGAATATTATTATTATTAATATTATTATTTCGCCTTTCATCCATTGCTATTTTCCACGTGTTCTTGTTCTCCTTTTCTCCACATTATTTAGGTTTTTTAATCCAATTATTCTCCTTTAATTTTCTTTTTTTATTTTAAAAAATATTTAGCTCAACTCATTGTAAGCACCTAACCCTATCTCATCCAATGGCTGTTACATATTCCACGTGGATGTGCCACCATTTCCCCTTGGTCGGATTCACTTTGTCACCCGAGTAACTCGATCTATAAAAGAGATTTGATAAGTTGTTTTAGTCGCCCATGTCGTGCTAGGTTTGGTCGGTGTCTTCTTATCTCTTTTGTCTTCGAGCTCGGGTCATAGGAGAAGGTTTGTCCC